GCCACTTGGGGGAGGGAATGAATTCTGGCTTGTCAGCAAATGCTGCCACTTGGGGGAGGGAATGAATTCTGGCTTGTCAGCAAATGCTGCCATCTGCTGAGGCTTGCTGCCCCACAAGGCAGGGTGCAGGGTGGCCAAAGGGGCATAGATGGGGGGAATATAGGGAGGTGGGGGGAGTTGCAGCAACCCTGCAGTTGTAAGTGCAAGTGGGCTGCCAAACCTCCAAATTTTGATCAGGTGGCCATGGGGGCACTGCAATGGCCATAACTTTGGGCACAGGTCATAAGTCCATTTTTTCAGCAGTGTTGTCATTTTGAACGGTCACTGAATCAATGGTCATTAACCAAGGACTACCTGTATTCTGAGAGTTTTCCTCTGCAAAGATCATCTGAGTAATTTCATCTCAATCATCTGATTGCATCATCATGAAGTCAACTTCCATGTATTTCTCTAAGCACACATGAAGGGGAAAAAAATGTTTACTCCTTTTTCTGCCGCAAAGAGACCTGGTATTGCATTAGTAATAATTAACTTTCTTGCTTAATTAACTTGCCTAACTTCCTTAATTACCTGAGGTCACTCATTCTCCATAATGGGTCCACGCAAGGGACTTCTAGGCAGCGTCAAAAATGCAATCCATAAGCAATCTTGCAAGGAGTTATAAAACCTTTCTTTTGTGAGATTGCAAACTGGGAGAGGACCAAGAAGAAGGCAGAGTTCTGTCTGGTTCCACACTGTAGGTTTCCCCACCCATTTAGGTAATTATTGCCTTGTCACCACTTTGCCTGAAGTCTGAGGAGCACTTTCAGAGCTGTGCTGTCCTTAATGATGCTTCTTTTTCTGTGCTACAGCTATGGAGTTGGTTGCCAGATGAGGTAGCTAGCTTCTGTTTGCAAAGCTCATCTCTCAACCTACAGATGGCCCCCAAAGTGCCTCCATCTAGAGAGATGTGGAGTCCGATATTGGCATTAACAATACTTGTACTCCTTCTGTCTTGTGTGAGAGGTAAACCACGCACCAAGAAGTGTTCTATCAATGAGTCCCTTCTTGTTCCACATGAGTGGTACCAACCTGGCAAGTTCCTGATCGGTGGGATTGTTTCTCATATCTTAAATGTATATTTCCAATTCTCCTTTGAGGAGGCTCCTTCGAAAGAACTGGGTAATGAACTTCCAATGTAAGTATGTCTGAGTTGCTTCCTGTTCCTTTCCGCTGCCATCAGGGCTCGCCTCTCTGAGGAATGATATTCTGCTTCTTTAGGGAAAATGTTATTCTTCCCTGGCTTCAAAATGGAATGTAAAGGCCAACATATATATCCTGCAGTGCAGATCATTACAAACTATGAAAAGCACTTCATAGGCAAGAAAGGGACTATTATGCCAGTTGCATTCAGCAATTAAATTAAGTGTCTTATTTAATCAGAGCAATCCAGACAGGTGGCAATCAGATGCCATGCATTGCAGATTTGGTTCACAAAAGGTCTATAATTCTATTTGTAGTATGTTGCCAAAATTCTACCAGCATCTCCTGGCCCTTGCCTTTGCTGTGAAAAAAATCAACCAAAACCCAACGTTCTTGCCAAATTTCCCCCTCGGCTTCCATATCTACGACAGCCATTTTGATGCAAGGATGACCTATCGCATCACTTTGGACCTGCTTTTCAAGTCACAGACATTTATCCCCAATTACAAGTGTGATCCTCACAGGAGACATCTAGCACTCATTGGGGGGATCAGCCCTGACATCTCCTCCTATGTGGCAGAGATCTTAAGTCTGTACAAGATTCCACAGGTAAGATCGGTGCACGTCAGCACAGCAGCCCTATCATTGTGTAATAGTAACTCCTTTTCTTATTCTGAAAGTGAGTCTTACATTCCGGAAAGAGAGAGAAGTCTGTAAGTGAAGGCAGAAATGGGGAAAGGGGGAGAGAGAGAGAGAGTTGGAATAGGTGGAAGTATATGGTCGAAACTGGGATTTCTTCCCAAAGTCTTCACCGTGCCTATTTTCAATAGCTGCATCGTTATTCCCAAGATTTTGGCAGAAGAGTCCATGACTTGGACTTTCCCAGATTCCAGCATCATCAGAATTCTAATCATGGTCTTACCTGGTAGAATGAATTGTAGCTCAATGATGAAGTGTGTGAAATCTAAGAGTGCCGTTTTAGTACTGAGAGTGCTAAGATGAATGCACCAGTTCTCCTAGTTGGTGGAAGAAATAACCCTAAGATTATGCTGCCACATGTACTAGCAATTTCCAGGATTGACTACCGTCCCAGATTTGACACATGGCTGTCTGCAAAAAGTTCAATTAGTATAGAATTCAGCAACCAGTTTGGACAGGGGACACTTCACTCCAACTTTGCAAATTGATTTCGAGACAGTGTAATTGCTTTGCTATGAAATCTTTGAGTGATCTTAGTGGTTAATAAGCTTAATAAACAAAATGCATAATGCAGTAAATAACAAAAGAACACTTTTCCTTCATTCACTGACAATTCCTGGCTTTAAAAATAATGTGTATAAAATGCATTGAGAAAACCTCTCCTAATCTGTATCTGAATATCTCTGAGCATGTCCTTTCAGCTCACATATGGATCGTTCCCTATGCGACGAAGTAATATGGTACAGACATCTTCCTTTTACCACACAGTCTCCAATGAAGGTCATCAGTATACAGGGATTATCTATTTACTTAAACATTTTGGATGGACCTGGGTTGGACTGTTGGCTGGAGATGATGAAAGTGGAGAACGTTTCTTGGAAAAGCTGGAGTCATTATTTGTCCAAAATGAAATTTGTTCAGCCTTTGTACAAAGAATGCCAGTTGATAGCCGGTTCCCTGAACTCAAAGAACTGGAGGTTATTTCTGCAAATATTAATGCTTTCTACTCAGATGAGAAAGTTAAGACTCTTGTTGTCTATGGTGAAACTTTAACTATTATGTGGCTAAGCACTGGGTTATTTTTGGCTGGTGTTAACTATACGGAAAAAGTGTGGATTATGACAGGCCAGATTGATTTTGCTGCAACAGCCCTTTCAAAGGATTGGAAATTTGAATTATTCCAGGGTACCCTTCTTTTTGCAATCCACTCCAATGAATGTGAAGAGTTTCAGATCTACCTTCAAAATATAAAACCAGACAAGGCAGAACCTGATGATTTTTTCAAGGAGTTCTGGTCACAAGCCTTTGGGTGTTCAGTTCCAGCTGCAGGGAACCTAATAGAGGCTCCCAAATTTTGTAGTGGGACCGAGTCCTTTAGTGATCTTCCCGGGGGTCTGTTTGAAACGGTCATGACTGGCCATAGCTACAGCATCTACAATGCAGTCCTTGCCGTGGCCCATGCGTTACACAGCATGGATTTATCTAGATCAAAATACAAAGCATTCAGGAGTACAAAACGTCTTGAGGAGATAAACCCTTGGCAGGTAATGTCTCCAGAATGAAAAAAGGAGGGAATGAAAAGAAACTCTAGATATCATTTTTAAAAAATAAATCTCACATGAAACTAAAATACATGGAAGTTCCTTCTCTCCTGATAAGCAGCAGGAGTGTATGGTATTCATTGACCATATCATTTCCTTCTGTTGGGAGAGGAATGCCCTCGTATTTTCCCTTTCTGAAGATGACAAAACTCTCTGCATTCATCTGCAAAACTATATGTCTTAAAGAAGAATTTTGAAAAATGCACACATTTGGTCATGAATTGGGTTAAAAGAAATTATTTTTAATAAATGGGAAAGGAAAATGTGTAGATTCAGACAGAGTTTTCTGCATACATACAGTAATCCTGAAAGGTTTGGTTCTGTTCCCTGCCTTATTAGGGTTGGTTCTTTAATAAGGAATCCAAAGGCTGTCAGGAAAACATTGGGGTGGAAGAAACAAGTGTTAAGGCCAGAGGGGAGGGAGAGTATTACAAAGAGACTGACACACAGTCCACAACTGGCTTGGGTGTTAAAGGGAGGAAAGGGAAGACACACGGAGACTTGTAAGATTCTGTTTTTATAGCCTCAGTAAAGGCTTTATTATATCTCCATAAATTCTAGTTATCTCATGGACTGTTTCCTTATCTGGTGTACCATGAAGAGCTGAAGGATTGATATAAAAAGAGGAAGGTGGGCTATAGATCTAAGAGAACAAGAATAAGGGTGACAAACAACAGGACCAAACACTGTATTGATTTATTCTTAGTTTGAGTTATGAAAAGATCCCTTCTCTTAACTCTTTCTTGCTTTGTTCTTCTTTATCTTCTTAGCTTCACCGCTTCCTTCAGACCATTTCATTTAACAATACAGTTGGAGAAACGGTGTCCTTTAATGATAATAAGGAGATGGGATCTGGATTTGATATAATAAACATGTTCATTTTCTCTAATAACTCCTTCCACAAAGTGAAGGTTGGAAGGGTGGGGACCAAGGATACTCAAGGAAAGAAATTTATCATTGAGGACGACAAGATTAAATGGCATGGAAGCGTTAACCAAGTGAGGATGCTTAAGTCTTCTGAAAAGACCAATTTAATTGGTGGAATACTCTCCCTTTCCATTGCACACAAATAAATAAACAATCTCAGTCTCCCTCATGTCTTATATAGAATATTAAATTTTATATGGGACAAGCATAGATAAGACCGCTAGGTGAAATGGAACATTTACAATGGAAAGGAAGATATTTTCAGAGAGATGTCCCATTTTTGCAGTATTATTGTTTGGGGTGGGTGGAGAGAGAGCAAAAGGAAGGCAGTTATTGTTCCTCTATTTTTAGTAGAAAATATTAATGGACAAATCTATCCAATCTAAATTCCTGTTTCCTCTTTTATTTTTTTTTAACCTATGGATCAACTTCAGATTTATGAAAAAAGTTCTCCATGAAAATTCAGAAGGATTTCATGTACATTTTCCATACATATACATTCTTTGTACCCACAGATGTTTTGATGAAGGAGTGGCATTTGGGTCTTGTCTACTTCTCCCTATGTGAAGCCAAACTCTTCAGCTCATAGTGACAATAGGAATAAATTTGTGAAACAGTTCTGAAATGGGTGGCATTTTCTGAATCCTCCCCCCTCCCAAATACAGTCTATCCTCCAGCTTTGGATTTTCTTGGTGGAACTTCCAAAGGAAGAAGCAGATCTGCTCTTTTGAATTCAACTAAGAAATGCAAATAGACTTAAAATGGCTAGTGAAATAAAATAGGCCAATCCAGATTCAGTTCCACTCACGGAGGCAGGGATGCTTTAGGTCTAGTGGACCCTAGTAAGTCCTTGGCATGTTTCCTGTCATCTGTTTATTTTTATTTTTGTCTTACAAAATGTAGTAAGAAATATCCACATCCTAATTCCTTTTTTACAGTCAGAAGTCTCTCTTTCTCTCTGCCTTTATAGGGAGTAAGTAAATTTAATTTTGGTTATACTTATGGACCAAAATTCTAGGTATAGTTCAAAGTAGAAGTACAAGAAAATAAATAAAATAAAACAATTGTTGTTTTATTTTATTGTTGTCATTTGTTGTGTCATAGCAGATAAACTCTACCTAACCGTTCTATTAAAACATTTTTGAAAAAGGTCCATCCTCTTTCCTTGTGTAATGATTACTGTCAGCCCGGTTATCAAAAGAGAAAAGAAGAAGGAAAGAAATTTTGCTGCTACACATGTGCTTGGTGTCCAGAAGGGAAGATCTCCAACAAAAGAGGTAAGTAATGCAGGACAGCAAATCTTCCAACGTAATCAATAAAAAAAAGGGTTGGACAATCTAAAAATGGACATGTTTGACACCATCCCTGCCCTTTTCTCTCTCTTCTTTTTTTGTCCCCTTCCTCCTGCATGGTGAGTAAGAATTGGAGGAGTATTCAACATGGTAATTGTTGCAAAGTGTCATGCCCAATATAGCCCAGGGCCACGTAAGTATGGTAGCAATATATTCCTGATTAATATATGATCATTATGACTTTGCAGGACTTCAGATCTTAAGAAAGAAAGGGCCTTCAGAGCACATGGGTGCATGAACATAATACCCATCTGCAATTTCTTAATCCATGCACATCTTTTCTTGGAAATAGCCATGAACAGTCTTATCATCCAAGAGAAGAAACAGATGCTTTAAAGTGCTGCAGAAGAGGTTAACTGAAAGGACCTTTTTTCCCCTCTAAACCTGAAGCTCTGCAAGTTATTCCTAATTTTACCATCCTTTATTCTTGATGATGCAGGTGTTCATCAAAGAATATAATAATGTGCATGAAGCAGAATTGAGCTAATGACAGGAAGGCAAAAGGTTGAATTCCCAAATAGGCAAATGTTCCTTTGCCTGGTGATGGTTTACAAAGTGTGAAAGCCCTCTTATAATTTTAAAACAGTATGAAATTAATACGCAGAGTTTTGCGATCACACTGAAGAAGGCAATTTGTATAGGTTTTGGGCTTTGAAGGAAATCCAGAACACAATATATTTTAAGCTAACATAAATAATCCAGATAATAAACGTACTGAACTTTCTAGCATAGTGGTTAGAAGGACAGTTGCCCAATAATGGGCATTTCTTCACAAAGTTTGTTTCTCTCATGG